TAAAAGACAGGAGGAGAGCCTAAGGGAGCTTTGGGACAACATGAAGCAAAACAACATACGAATAATAGGGGTGCCAGAACAACAGAAAGAGGAACAAGGATTAGAAAACCTATTCGAAGAAATAATATCAGAAAACTTCCCTGAGGTGGGGAAGAAAAAAGTCACACAAGCACAGAAAGTCCCAAACAAGGTGAACCCAAAAAGACACACACCAAGACACATCATAATTACCATGGCAAGTGTTCAGGACAAAGAGAGAATCTTAAAGGCTGCAAGAGAGAGACGGAAAGTTACATACAAGGGATCTCCCATTAGACTATCAAATGATTTCTCAACAGAAACACATCAGGCCAGAAAAGAATGGATGGAAATTTACAAAGTGATGCAAAGCAAAGGACTGAATCCAAGAATACTCTATCCAGCAAGGCTATCATTCAAATTTGAAGGGGAAATAAGAAGCTTCACAGACAAAAAAAAGTCTAAGGGAGTATATCACCACCAAGCCAGCCATGCAAGAAATGCTAAAGGGTCTGGTGTAAAAAGAAGAAATAAAAAGCTCAGAAAGAAAACAGCCACACACAAAAAAGAAATGGCTACAAACAAGTACCTTTCAATAATAACTTTAAACGTAAACGGATTAATGCTCCAACCAAAAGACACCGAGTGGCTGAATGGATAAAAAACCATGACCCATACATCTGCTGTCTACAAGAGACCCACCTCATTAGAAGGGACTCACACAGACTGAAAGTGAAGGGATGGAAAAATATCTTCCAGGCAAATGGAAAGGAAAAGAAAGCTGGGGTAGCAATACTTATATCGGACAAAATAGACCTCAAAGTGAAGGCCATAACAGAGATAAGGAAGGCCACTTCATGATACTAAAGGGATCAATACAACAAGAAGATATAACCCTGGTAAACATTTATGCACCCAATGCAGGAGCATCCAAATACATAAAAAAAACTCCTGGAAGATATCAAAGGAGAGAACGACAACAATACAATCATAGTAGGGGACTTTAATACACCACTGACATCTCTGGATAAATCCTCCAGACAAACAATCAGCAAAGAAACAGCAACCCTAAATGACTCACTTGATCAGATGGACTTAATTGACATCTTCAGAACACTTCACCCCAAAGCCATGGAATATACATTCTACTCAAGGTCTCATAAGACACATTCAAAAATAGACCACATATTGGGTCACAAACAAAGTCTCCCCAAATTCAAGAAGATTGAAATCATACCAAGCATCTTCTCAGATCACGAAGGCATAATATTAGAAATGATCTACAAAAAAAACAACCCAAAATACTCAAACACTTGGAAGCTGAATAGCATGTTATTAAATATTGATTGGGTTACCAATGAGATCAAAGAAGAAATTAAAAGCATCCTGGAAACTAATGAAAATGAAAAGACAACAATCCAAAACCTATGGGACGCAATGAAAGCAGTCCTGAGAGGGAAGTTTATAGCTCTACAGGCCTATCTCAAAAAGCAAGAAAAAATGGTAGTAAATCATCTAACTCTACAGCTCAAAGAATTAGAAAGAGAGCAACAAGAAAAGCCCAGGGTGAGCAGAAGGAAGGAGATAATAAAGATTAGAGCAGAAATAAATGACATAGAGACCAAAAAAACAATACAGAAAATCAATGAAACCAAGAGCTGGTTCTTTGAAAGGATAAACAAGATTGACAAACCTCTAGCCAGGCTCACCAAGAAGCAAAGAGAGAGGACCCAAATAAACAAAATCAGAAATGATAGAGGCGAAATAACAACAGACCCCACAGAAATACAAATGATTGTTAAAAAATACTATGGACAGCTCTACTCCAACAAACTAGACAACATGGAGGAAATGGACAAATTCCTAGAAAAATACAACATTCCAAAACTCAATCAGGAAGAATCTAAAAATCTCAATAGGCCAATAACCTTGGAAGAAATTGAAGCAGTCATCAAAAAGCTTCCAGCAAACAAAAGCCCAGGGCCAGACGGCTTCACAGGGGAGTTTTACCGAACATTCAAGGAAGAACTAAAACCTACCCTCCTCAGACTACTACAAAAAATTCAAGAGGAAGGAACACTTCCAAGCTCATTCTATGAAGCCAGCATCACCCTAATACCAAAACCAGGTAAAGACAACACAATGAAAGAGAATTAGAGGCCAATATCCCTCATGAACATAGATGCCAAAATCCTCAACAAAATCTTAGCAAATCGGATCCAGCAGTATATCAGAAAGATCATACACCATGACCAAGTAGGATTTATTCCAGGGATGCAAGGATGGTACAATATACGCAAATCAATAAACGTGATACATCACATAAACAAATTGAAAGAAAAAAACCACATGGTCATATCAATTGATGCAGAAAAAGCATTCGACAAAATCCAACACCCATTTTTGATAAAAACTCTCAGCATGGTGGGAGTAGAAGGATCATACCTCAACATGATAAAAGCCATATATGACAGGCCCACAGCCAACATCATACTCAATGGACAAAAACTAACACCATTTCCCCTAAGAACAGGAACAAGACAAGGATGCCCACTCTCACCACTCCTGTTCAACATAGTCCTGGAAGTATTAGCCATTGCAATTAGACAAGAAGAAGAAATAAAAGGCATCCAAATTGGAAAAGAGGAAGTAAAACTGTCCTTATTTGCAGACAACATGATATTATACATACAAAACCCTAGAGACTCCGTCAAAAAACTACTAGACTTAATACATGAATTTGGCAAAGTAGCAGGATACAAAATTAATGCCAAGAAATCTGAGGCATTTCTATACACCAATAGTGAACTTGCAGAAAGAGAGATTAGAAAAACAATCCCATTTACCATCACACCAAAAACATTAAGCTACCTAGGAATAAACTTAACTAAAGAAGTAAAAGACCTCTACTCAGAAAACTACAGGACATTGAAAAAAGAGATAGAGGAAGACATAAACAGATGGAAGAACATACCGTATTCATGGATTGGTAGAATCAACATCATTAAAATGTCCATACTACCCAAAGCAATCTATAAATTCAACGCACTTCCCATTAAAATACCAATGGCCTACTTCAAAGATCTAGAACTAACTCTCCAAAAATTCATCTGAAATAAAAAAAGACCCCGAATAGCTGCAGCGATCCTGAGAAAGAACAAAGTAGGTGGGATCTCAATACCAGATATCAAGCTGTATTACAAAGCCACTGTTCTCAAAACTGCCTGGTACTGGCACAAGAACAGACATATAGATCAATGGAATAGAATAGAGACCCCAGGAATCGGCCTGAACCAATATGCTCAATTAATATTTGACAAAGGAGGCAAGAACATACAATGGAGCCAAGATAGTCTCTTCAATAAATGGTGTTGGGAAAATTGGACAGATATATGCAAGAAAATGAAACTAGACCACCAACTTACACCATACACAAAAATAAACTCAAAATGGATAAAGGACTTAAATGTACGACAGGAAACCATAAAAATTCTAGAAGAATCCAAGGGCAACAAAATCTCAGACATATGCCGAAGCAATTTCTTCACTGATACAGCTCCTAGAGCAGTTGAAACTAAAGAGAAAATGAACAAATGGGACTACATCAAAATAAAAAGCTTCTGCACAACAAAGGAAACTATCAACAAAACAACAAGAAAACCCACTGCGTGGGAAAACATATTTGCCAACGTCATATCTGATAAGGGCCTAATCTCCAAAATTTATAGGGAACTCATACAACTTAACAAAAAGAAGATAAACAATCCAATCAAAAAATGGGCAAAGGATCTAAATAGACACCTTTCAAAAGAGGACATTCAGAAAGCCAAGAGACATATGAAAACATGCTCAAAGTCACTAATCATCCGAGAAATGCAAATCAAAACAACAATGAGGTATCATCTCACACCTGTCAGACTGGCTATCATCAACAAATCAACAAACGACAAGTGCTGGAGAGGATGTGAGAAAAAGGAACACTTGTGCACTGCTGGTGGGAATGCAGACTGGTGCAGCCACTATGGAAGACAGTATAGAGTTTCCTCAAAAAACTGGAAGTGGAACTCCCATTTGACCCTGTGATCCCACTTCTAGGAATATATCCCAAGAAACCAGAAACACCAATAAGAAAGGATATATGCACCCATATGTTCATAGCAGCACAATTCACCATAGCTAAGATCTGGAAACAGCCTAAATGCCCATCAGTAGATGAATGGATTAGAAAACTGTAGTACTGCCAAAACCGGTTTGGCTCAGTGGATAGAGCATCGGCCTGCGGACTGAAAGGCCCCAGGTTGATTCCGGTCAAGGGTATGTACCTGGGTTGTGGGCACATCACCGGTGGGGGATGTGCAGGAGGCGGCTGATCAATGTTTCTCTCTCATCGATGTTTCTGACTCTCTATCTCTCTCCCTTCCTCTCTGTAAAAAATCAATAAAATATATTTAAAAAAAAAAAGAAAACTGTGGTACATCTACACGATGGAGTACTATGCTGCTGTAAGAAAGAAGGAACTCTTACAATTTGCAACAGCATGGATGGAGCTGGAGAGCATTATGCTAAGTGAAATAAGCCAGTCAATGAAGGAAAAATACCACATGATCTCACTCATTCATGGATAATAGAGACCATTATAAACTTTTGAACAATAATAGTTTCAGAGGCAGAGCTGCCTCACACATATTGTCAATCTGCAGCGAGAAGGCCGGGGAAGGTTGGGGGGCAGGAGGGAGGGGGGTAAGAGATCAACTGAAGGACTTGTATGCCTGCATATGAGCATAAGCAATGAACATAAGACACTGGGGGGTAGGGGAAGCCGGGGTATTGTCAAGGGTGGGAAAAAAAAGGACACATATGTAATACCCTTTGTAATGCTTTAAGCAATAAAAAAAAATTTTAAAAAAAAGAAAAAACTTGGATATACGTAAGAAAAAAAATAAAAAATAAAAAAAAAATCTATGAATCAAAACCTGGTCTAGGTACAGCCCCACCTGTAAATGGCCTCTCAGAGCAATACCATGAAACACAAGAGATAAATGTGAATGAAACAGGTACAACCAGCAACAACAATGATGCACTAGAAAGCAGACAAGGAAATGAACAATGTGCTCAAGAATCTGAGCAGGATGGTAAGACTGAGTGCCTGGGTTTGAAGGGGAACTGGCCGGTGGAGGTATTTGGTGTGGATAAAGTCACCAGGGTAGAACTTTGATAATAATTGGAATTATTAAGATGGAGAAAAGATAAAGAAAATTTTTATTAGAAGAGGCATTCACAGGTCACAGAAATTATTAGGAAACAACAGAATAGGACAAAATAGGAAACATAACAGAGAATGGGTAAACTGAAAAATCTGGTGGGATACTAAAGGCCATGACCAGGGGGAGACACGGAGACTCTGGGACACATGTAAAGAGGAGCTCACGCCCTGCCCTACACACCTACAGTGCTTCACCCTAGACACTACTGGGTCCTGGTTGGCAATGATAAAATAATGTAGAGAAATAAGTGTGAAGAGAGAAAGATACAGAGGGAAATGAATATCAATAAATATAAAAAATGGGGGGAAACACACAGAGAACTATGTCAAGGAAGAGTAAAGGACAATGAATGAAGAACTGGTAGAGAGTGGAGTAGGTAGAGAGAGAGGACCAGGCATTGTCTGATTTGGAGAGATACTGCAAAGAAGGCACAAAGGGCTATTCCTAACCCCATTGAAAAGGTAAGGTGTCCACAAAATAAAAATGGTCCTGGAACCCAGTCAGATAAAAGTAAGCCTCTCTTCTGAAAAGTAGAAACAAAAATAAAAACAAACACCCAGAGTTAATAGAGGCACACAATAAAGGACAGATTTAAGCAGCAGGAAAGGAGCGGGTGGAGGTGCTTTCCCTGAAGTGGCATTACAGGAAAAGGGGCTTGTTGATTGCAGTGAGGGTGCTCATTTCCTTGGAGAAGACTTCATTTATTTTAATTTTGTCCAGGAGTGGAGCCACCCCGCCATGGAAACCAAATCAATAACTGCTCTGTACACCTAGTGAATATAAAGGAGGAAGATCCGTCTTTAAATTCAGATGTTGAATGGGAAGCCCAAGCAAGGAATGACTGCAACCAGGCATCTGACATAATAGGTAAGACTGCCTGAAAGAATGTGTGCTGTGAATCCCAGGACCAGGCAAGGGTCTGTGATGTGTCATCAGGGCCCGTGGAGACAGTCCTGGTGGCCTTGGTTAGAGGTAGAAAGGGGAGGGAATAAGAGCCTTATGCAGTGTGCTCAGCAGAAAAATGTCCCCAGTAATTGGAAAAATAAACAAAAGCAGAAATGGTTGGTTTAATGTCAAAGAGATTATTTCTGTGCAGGAGAGGAAAATGGTGGGTGTAGGAGAAAAGGAAGAAAAATGAAGAGCCAAGATATTTATTAGAGGAGAGAGAAATAAACAATACAGACAAGGAGAGTTTTAAAGACATACCATTTCCAGGCATAATTTGTGAAAATTATTTGAGCCAATAGAAAAGTGAAGAAGTAAATGAGAATGGAAGAAAGAGTAGAATGATGGTGGGGACTGGAAGTGGATTAAGGATGGAGGTAGGAGATAGAGCGAGGATGGGGGTAAGAAGTGTGCTGCAGGATGGGCAAAGCTGCCCTCTGCACATGAACTTCTCCACCTTCTGCGTAGGACTTGGAGTAACCCGCAGGTCACACACATTTGGGCACAGACCAGGGGGACCTGAGTTAACTTAACTTCTAGATCTCCCTAGTGCTGTCATGAAGGGGTTTTCTGTCAGTGGGCTCCCTGGCCCCATTTTGAGACACTAAAGGGTTTTCTCCTCTATGCAGTGATCGACAGTGATGATTCCAGAGAATCCAGTGATGGAGATGTGCCCCCCAAAGCTTCCAGCTCAGCATTGAAAAGGAAAAGTGGTAAGGAGGTGGGAGCTCAAGGCTTGGGCTGCAGGAACCTGAATTAAGAGTTACTATTTCCATGCCCTCGCCAGTTTGGCTCAGTGTATAGAGCGTCAGCCTGCAGACTCAAGGGTCCCGGGTTTGATTCCAGTCAAGGGCACATGCCCAGGTTGTGGGCTGAATCCCTAGTAGGGGGTGTGCAGGAGGCAGCCAATCAATGATTCTCTCATCATTGATGTTTCAATCTCTCTTTCCCTCTCCCTTCCTCTCTGAAATCAATAAAAATAGATATTTTTAAATGTCAGGCAACTCACTAGTGGGCCACTTATGAAGGTGGAGAGTCACAGGTGTGTCAGGAGTCTGAAATAAGGGCTCCCGTTCTCTGCTGAACTTGACTCAGCCAGCTTTGACGCTGAGGTCAGGTGCAGAGGTCCAGTTCATGGCAGAATCCCATTCTTTTTGCTTAGCCTGACTCTTTTGGGAACTGTAGGAAGGCAAGAAATCATCATAATGTCATGATTAACATGGCCCTGTTGATTGTCATGGAAGATGTAGTAGAAATACACTCCTAAAATGGAAGTATCTAGCTTACCACATCACTAAACTAATCATTAATAATAATCACTGTAGTAATAAAAATTAATAAAGTCTTGATTTTGTACAGTGATATCCATCCCTAACACACCCATATCCTGTGGAACCCATTAAAGCTAACTATTCTTTTTTTTTAAAATATATTTTATTGATTTTTTACAGAGAGGAAGGGAGAGGGATAGAGAGTTAGAAACATCGATGAGAGAGAAACATCGATCAGCTGCCTCCTGCACATCTCCTACTGGGGATGTGCCCGCAACCCAGGTACATGCCCTTGACCGAAATCGAACCTGGGACCTTTCAATCCGCAGGCCGACGCTCTATCCACTGAGCCAAACCGGTTTCGGCTAAAGCCAACTATTCTTTTGCTTCTCAATAATAGTGTCATTTTGTCACAATCTTAGTGAAGCCTCAAAAGACAACTGATTCTACCACTAAACTGTTAGGAGGAAAAACATCAAATCAACTATTCATAACCCAACACATTTTTAAAAAATATATTTTTTTATTGATTTTTGAAAGGAAGGGAAAGGGAGAGAGAGATAGAAGCATCAATGATGAGAGAGAATCATTGATTTGGCTGCCTCCTGCACATCCCCTACTGAGGATCAGCCCCAAACCCAGGCATGCACCCTGACCTGTAACCGAACTATTTCATATGTCAATGCTCAAACATTGAACCATGCCAGCCAGGCAACCCAGCACATACTTTTTATGTATGTCTATGCTTTAGCATGTCACAGGCTTATACAGTGATGTCATACAAACTTTTGCACAAACATCCTCATAAAAATCTTAAGGATATGAAACCTGGTCCTATCTCTGAGTACAAAGGTGTTTAAGAGTATTTTTCAAAATGTTATCTAATCAAATAAAAGATAAACGTGCAAACTGACTGTTCCTTCGCTACACCTTAAGCCACACTCACCAGCCAATCAGAGCGACTATATGCAAATTAACCCAACCAAAATGGCGGCAGGCAGCCACGGAACTGGAGAGAGAAGGAGGCTTGGTTGCTCCAGTGATGGAGGAAGCCAAGCTTCCCACCTGTCCTGGCAGGCTCTGAGCTCCACTCAAAGCTACAAAGTTTCAATTATAGAATGTAAATAAATCTCAGAACAAACAAAAAAAAGAAAAAAAGGCGAGGCTCGGAGCTTCCGTTGCTGGGGGAATTGGCCAGCCTGAAAACTATCCTCAGCCCCTCACCCAGACTGGCCAGGCATCCCAGTGGGGACCCCCCACCCTCAAGGAGGTGTGGCCAGCCTAAAAACAGCCATCAACCCCTCACCCAGGCTGGCCAAACCTCCATGGGGTGAGGTTTGCAGCTGGTCACACTCCTTTCAGGGTGGGGGGATTCCCACTGGGGGGAGCTTGAACAGCCTGCAAACAGCCATCAGCCCCTCATCCAGGCTGGCTAGGCACCCCAGCGGGACCCCACCCTGATCCGGGACACACTTCAGGGCCAACCAGCCGGCCCCCACCCATGCACCAGGCCTCTATCCTATATAATAAAAGGGTAATATGCAAACTGACCCTAACAGCAGAATGACTGGGAATGACTGGTCACTATGACACACACTGACCACCAGGGGCCAGATGCTCAATGCAGGAGCTGACCCCTGGTGGTCAGTGCACTCCCACAGGGGGAGCTCTGCTCAGCCACAAGCCAGGCTGCCAGCTGCCAGTACACCGGTGGTGGTGGGAGCCTCTCCCGTCTCCTCAGCAGCACTAAGAATGTCAAACTGCAGCTTAGGCCTGCTCCCTGCTGGCAAGTGGACATCCCCCGAGGGCTCCTGGGCTGCCAAAGTTATGTCTGATTGCCAGCTTAGGCCTAATCCCCGGAGGAGCAGACCTAAGTCAGCAGGTGGTCATCCCCCGAGGGGTCCCAGACTGCAAGAGGGCACAGGTCAGGCTGAGGGATCACGCACCGAGTGCACAAACTTTTGTGCACTGGGCCTCTAGTTGAGAAATAAAGGAAGACCGAGGGCTGATTCTGAAGTCCTACTTCTCAATGTAGTAGGTTTGTGGTTGTGGTTACTTTAGAAGAAAGAAACAACAAATCAAAAACCTTTATAAACTCAAGCCTTCTGCAGTATGAATCATCCTAAAATTTGTGGGGTTTTTTAATCCTCACTGGAGGATATTCCTTCCAATGATCTTTAGAGAGAGTGAAAGGGAATGAGGAGCAGGGAGAGAGACAGAAAGAAAAATAAAAAACATTGCCGTCAACTAGTTGCCTCCCACACTTGCCCCAACTGAGGTCAGAAAATGAAACCTGCAACTGAGGTACATGCTCTTGACCAGGAATTGAACCAGCGACCCTTTGGTCATAGATTGATGCCTTAACCACCAAGAAAAACCAGCAAGAGCAAATTTGTAAATTTTTTTTTAAATATATTTTATTGATTTTTTACAGAGAGGAAGGGATTGTGGATTTTGGAAACAACTCCATTTCAGAAAAAGCCAAGAAGAGAAGAAGTAAGAATAAGATTTTATTTGCTTTTGATGTGAGAAAGGTACATGCCCTTGACTGGAATCGAACCTGGGACCTTTCAGTCCACAGGCCGATGCTCTATCCACTGAGCCAAACCGGTTTCGGCAAATTTGTAAATTTTATTTAATCATTTCCATTTTCTCACCACCACCTGTTTGTTGTAGGTACTGTGGATTTTGGAAACAACTCCATTTCAGAAAAAGCCAAGAAGAGAAGAAGTAAGAATAAGATTTTGTTTGCTTTTGATGTGAGAAATAAGTTGTATAATGCCAGTGTTTCATCTTTATTGTTATCCTATATAATAAAAGGGCAATATGCAAATTGACCAATGGGACCACTGGGAACGACTAGTTGCTATGACGTGCACTGACCACCAGGAGGCAGACGCTCCACAGGAGCTTCCCCCTGGTGGTCAGTGTGCTTCCACAAAGGGAACTCCACTCAGCCACAAGCCAGACTGATGGCTGCAAGCACAGTGGCGGTGGCAGGAGCCTCTCTCATCACCTCGGCAGCACTAAGAATGTCCGACTGCAGCTTAGGCCCACTTCCCAGGTGGTCTTTTCCACAGGGGTCCCGGACTGTGAGAGGGCACAGGCCGGGCTGAGGGACACCCCCCACCCCTCCAGTGCATGAAATTTCAATTACAATATTGTGGTAGGTAGAACAATGGCTCCTCAAAGATGTCCCTGTCTTAATTCCTGAAACCTGTAATCTGTTTTCTTACAAAACAAGTGGACCTTGCAGATTTAATTAAACTTGGACCTTAAAATGGGAGAAGTTATCCTGCATTACCAGGGTGGCCCCAATATACTCCCCTAGTCCTTCAAAAATGGAGAATCTTTTTTTGGTGTGGAGAGAGGAAGAATGGTCAGAGAGACACAATATTGCAGCTCTGAAGATGGAAGAAGGGCTCTAGCTAGTTTAGCTCAGTGGATAGAGTGTCAGCCTGCAGATTGAAGGGTCCCAGTTCAATTCCAGTCAAGGGCACATGTCGGGGTTATGGGCTTGATCCCCAGTGGGGGGTGTGCAAGAGGCATCCAATCAATGATTCTCTCTCATCATTGATGTTTCTATCTCTCTCACCCTCTCCCTTCCTCTCTGAAATCAATAAAATATTTTTTTAAAGATGGAGGAAGGGGATAGGGAATGTGGGTGATCTTAAGAATCTGTAATTCACACAGCATTCACCTCCTTGGGCATGATGTGAGATAGTAATTACAAGAAATTACCCCAACACTTTTACATGAATTGAAATGCCCATTCGTGTGACTTTCCCTGTACTCATGGACCTGTGAATAGAATTCTACACTGAAAAACTAGTCTGTTTATAATTCAGTACAAAATTGACTTAATTACAAAGGTTTAAAGTAAAATTTGCTTTTCCTACCCACTATATTTTCTGTTGCAAAAAAAAAAAAGATACATTGAAGAGAAATAGAAAAGATAAAGATTTCAGAAATTCAGTGATGTTGAACTTCTGTGTGTTCAGAATCTAATCAAGATTTTCTCCTAAAACCTCCAAATTCCTTTGGGAATTTGAAAGTACAATGAATTTAAAGATTATTTGGGGTAGAATTTAAACATTTTAAAGGAGAATGACCTATGCATTTATTCAAGTCACCTTTTTTGTTCTTCAACAAAATTTTATAGCTTTCTTTCTATAGATTGTGCATGTTTTTACTTTCCCTGTCAGATTTGCTGAGATATAATTTATATACAATAGATTTCATCACTTTAAAGGTTTAATTGAATATGTTTTAACACATGTAGATAGTCATGTAAACCAACATGATCATGACATAGAACATTTCCATCATCCACAAATATCCATTTGTGTCCCTCTTTGCACCCCCTGGTCTTGAAACAGTGAATCTGTTTTTATCACTGTATTTTTCTCCCAGAAATTTCATATAAATGAATTTATACAATATATAGTTTATTTATGTCTATTCTTTTTTACTAAGCATAATGCTGTTGAGACACACTGATATTGTTCTGTGTATCTGCAGTTACTCCATTTCTATTGCTGAGAAGTATTCCTTGTATGAATAAGCAACTGATTTATCTATTTGCCTTTTCATAGGCAGTGAGCTATTTTCATTTTGAAAAAAAAAACAATGAGGAACATGATCATACAAATATTTGGGTAAATATATTTTTTATTTTTCTTGGATAAATACTAAAAGAAGTACTACTAAGTCATATTAATTGAACGTAACTGCATGTTTGATGCTTTGTGAATCTGCCAAAGTATTTTTCAAAGTGGTTGTACCCTTTCATATTTCCACTAGCAATGTTTGAAAGTTCCAATTGCTCTGCATACTCACCAGTACTTGGTATTGTTATTTTTTTTTATTATACCTATTCTTAGGAGGCATTTAATGGTTTTTCTTGCAATTCTAATTTGTATCTCCCTAATAATTAATGGTACTGAGCAACTTTTCATTTTCTTGCCATTATCCACAGATCCGTTTTGGTGAAGTATTTATTGAAATCTTTTACCCTTATTTAATTGAGCTATCTCTTTTTTTGTTTTGTTTTGTTTGTTAAAGAGTTATTTATTTGTCCTGGATGCAAATCCTTTGTTGGTTATATCTTAGAGTCTGAAAAAGCTGACCTTTTCATTTTCTTGGCACTATCTTTTCAAGAATAAAATTTTTAATATTTGATGAAGTCTAATTCAACAATTTTCCCTTTTATAATCTGTAATTTGGGGTTCTATTTAAGAAATCTTTGCCTAATTTGAGATCCTGTTTTCTCCAAGAAGTTTTATGGTTTGATGTTTACATTTAGCTCTGTGATCCAGTTTAAGTTAATTTTTGCATATGATGTTAGCTAAGAACTCTTTTTTTTTTGTCATAGAGATATTCAATTGTCCCTGCAAAATTCGATGAAAATACTATCCTTTCTACATTGAATTAATTTTATTTCACATCCATTTGAAAATAAATTGGCCATATGACTTTGAGTGTATTTCTGGAATTCTTTTTCTGTTCCATTTGCCTATATGTCTACCCTTATGTCAATACTACAGGATCTTGATTACTGTAGCTTTAGAATGAGTCCTGAAGTCAGGTAGTAAGACCTACAATTTTGATTCTCTTTTTCAAAATGCTTTTAGCTCTTTTAGGCCCTGTGCATTTGGATTTTTCTTCTATCTTTAATTTTAGATACTTTTTAAAAATTGGTTTCACAGACGAAGGGAGAGGGAGAGAGATAGAAACATCAATGATGAGAGAGAATCGCTGATCAGCTGACTCCTGCACACCCCCTACTGGGGATGGAGCCCGCAACCTAGGCACATGCCCTTGACTGAAATAGAACCTGTGACCCTTCAGTTCGCAGGCCAATGTTCTATCCACTGAGCCAAACTGGCTAGGGCCATTTTAGCCTCTTTTAAGATGTCACTTTCCAAGGTTCCTACTGAGCTCCAACCATATGGCTATGTTCTAGGCCCTAGCCCTAGGCCATCCAAAAGATAAATGGAGAAAAGCAAAACATATCTTCCTGCAGAATGCTAGCCCTTTTGTGTGAAGCTTTCCTAAAGTTTCCCTCATCCCACAAAAATAGTTTGTTCTCATCTTACTCAACAAATCTTAAGCTGGTGATCCTACCAACTATTAGGGAAGTTATGAACTATAGTGTTTTGTCTGGACTCTGACATCTCTGAGAATGCAGATATTCTGTTAGTAAATTAAGAATTAAAATGGGTATCTGGAACATGACATGAAGAATTTATTTCCGTAACTCTTTAAAAGGTGTTGAAAGTCCCTTTGGAACCTGTGTGACCAATATTCGTAAATGTTCTAGGTCACTTTGAAATATGTACATTTGAACTCCTTGCTGGGTTCCGGCTTCTCCCTTCATAAAGGCTCTTTATCAAGCACACTGTTTAAATTTACTGGATCAGTGGTAAATTAGGTTGTATTTGTTCCATCATGTAGGATAGAGATGTGTTAAGTTTTCCAAATGATTACATTTGCCAACTCCTCCATGTTCTGTTGTTTTACATTAAAATTTTGATGCCTTTTATGATTGTTATAACTTAGATACCTTCTCATTTTATAGTTCCCCTTTATCCTTATCAATGCTTTTAACCTTCAAATCTTTTTTTCCAGGATGCTAATAATGCTACATTAACTTCTATAGTTCTTACCCCTTTTCATAGATCCCCACTCCATGCAACTTTGTTTTGTGTCTCTTGTAAAAACACAGCTTTTTGTAATTTTATCAGATAATCCTCACCTTTAAATAGTTATGTTTTATTTGGTACTTTCATTATGATCCCTGATATATGTGGACTTATACATCTATATTATTGCTAACCATTATTTTTGTGTGTTTCTGTGTCTCTTTCCTACTTTCTGAATGATTGAGATAGAATTTTATATTATACCTTTTTCTCCACTGTATTCTACTTTTTTCTAGGCCATCCAAAAGATAAATGGAGAAAAGCAAAATATATCTTCCTGCAGAATGCTAGCCCTTTTGTGTGAAGCTTTCTTAAAGTTTCCCTCATCCCACAAAAATAGTTTGTTCTCATCTTACTCAACAAATCTTAAGCTGGTGGTCCTGCCAACTATTAGGGAAATTGGAGGTAAATTTTCTATAATTTCTTTAACCATGCCTTAATCTCAACAGATAACAAGGATCTTAGCATGGATTCCTGCAAATTCAACATCCCATCTCCATCATTTAGCTATTGTTACTAAATTTCTTCTCATTATAAATTTTGAAACATTGTCATCTACTTAAATTTGTCATCATTTTATGCACATCATTTTATGTTTCTTTTTTCATTTCAACTTTGGTCTAGCTGAATAAATCCTTGGTTCTTTTTGTCAGAGTGTCTAAATGTTATATGTGCAAATTTGCCTTTATTTTGAAAGAATTTTTTATTGATTTTTCTATATAGAGAGAAAGATAGATGATAGATAGATGATAGATAGATAGAAATCTATGTGGAAGAGAAACCTCTTGTATGGGCTCCAACTGACCGGGGAGCAAACCAGCAACCTAGTAATGTGCCCTGATAGGAATCAAACATACAGCCTTTCTGTGCAAGGGACGGCACTCCGACCAACTGAGCCACACTCTACAGAAATAATTTTTTTGCCAAGATTAAAAAATTCTAGGTCAATGTTTATTTCTCTTCAGTATACTAATATGATTACTGCATTGTCTTCTAGACTCTATTGTGTGGCTGATGAATATTCTGCTTGCATTTTAACTGTCACTTTTTGGTTAATAAGCTATTTTTTTTTTGCCAAAGTATCTTTTTCCAACTTTTGAATTATGAAAACTTTAAGGCTATTGAAAAACTTGAACAATTTTACAGTAAACATAGACTCACAATTAGCATGTATTGTGCTTACTTTATCTCATTTTTGTCCATCTATCCATTTCTTGATTCGTCTACTAACCGTCCTCAACTTTGAAACATTTTAAAGTTGCAGACAATAATACACTTCCCCCAAAACACTTTAGCATGCATATCATTAACTAGATTCAATATTTGTTTGTATTTCTTTTTCTTTTAGATAAAATTTACAATGAGATGTACAAATACTAGATATTTCATTCTATGGATTCTTATTAAAGTGTTCTCCTGTAAAATCCTAATTGTTATCAAGAGACAAAATATGACCATCACCCTAGAACTTAAACAGCTCTCCTCTGAGGAGGACACTTTACTATCCTGGGATAATTAAGAGGGAGATGCTCTCTATTTTATACTGGTCAGAAAACAAATTTGCCCTCTGACTTGGGGAGCTGCATTAACTCTAGCTTCTAAAACTCTTTGCTATTCACACATCCTTGAAAAGATACTCTGGGGCATGTGGAATTGCATGGAGAATTGGGTCCTAACAAATTCACCTCACAAAGCACATTCTGGCTATTTCCCTGTGAGGACACCACTCCACCAGCCAAGATTAACCTGACCCCTGGAGTCTAGTAGTATATTCATTCAAGTTGTTTCCTTCAGAATTTAACAAATGTCCTAAACCATAATTTCTTAGGTCTCCTATGACCACCGCTATGGTGCAAGTCACCATGGTTGCATGAGGGAGGCAAGTGAATGCCTGGCTTTCACACAGGAAATGCAATCCCAATGGCACAGATGGTGATCCTGAAACAGAGGCATTTATACTTGTTCAGGTTCCTAAAAGGAATATATAAGCCATGGGTAGGGTTGGTCCCTGATCACCTGTAGCCTTAAAATTTTCAGCTCTGTTCATTGTTGATGGGTTTTGGAAAGAGATGGGGGCAATATAGTCTATCCAATCTGTTCTACTTCTTCATGATGTCTCCCGCAACCCTTCATCCAATGACTGGGAATCAGTGAGGGGACCATGTCCAGAAATGTTCTGCCTGGGAGATGCTAATACTGGCAGCAGCCCCTGATTCCTCACATCTGATACTGAATGGCAGAATCAGCACCTACATATGTGGTGGGAGAGTGAGACAAGAGTGATTTCTTTTAGGACAGTCTTGAAAGACAAATATGGTTAGTGCTCTTCCACCTCCCACACCTCCTAGGTATTGCATCCTCAGGTGCCTGGATCTTTTGCTCTTCCTTTACTACCAAAAATATTGTGGGGGTGGGGGAGAGGAGGAGAGATAAAATATATTGTGTACCATTCCATTGACTGTAACTTCATCTCTTCATCTTTCATTCCAATAATCTCATATCGTCACTCACATTTTTCATCCGGGAGAGTCAGATACAAGCAGGGAAACGGCATTCCCCAAAAAATATAACCGAAATTATATCCAAAATCTCTAGGCACTCTGAAGAGTGGGGAAGAGCAATGCATCCTCACCAGCAATGGTCAGAACAGAATCCAGATTTTCACAATTGATCTATATAATGCTATTAATTCCCCACCACTTTTGTCCTTATCACAATGCAGGAAGGAGCTGATCCCTTTCTGCCTAGATTGGGGAAAGTTGCCTTCAGTGACAAAATACCCATAATAGAAAAGTGTGTGCACAGGAAGAGACGAGGTCATAGAGTTAGATGATCAGAGCATTGCGTGTAGCCTTTTATAAAGGGCAGACTGTAATGGTCCAGCAAGTCATGCAATTTGCAGATTGTTCTTGCGCTTCCTCAGCTCCTCTTTCAGCTTTGGAGAAAGTTGATGTGAGGGACAAATGAGGCAAAGTAGAGAACATGAATAGCAGGTAGACACTATCTTCAGGGTTAACTCATTACTATCCTCTTCCTGAGTCAGAACTCAAACGGGGAGATACAAGTATAGTCTCTGATTCTGTCTCCAGCTAGCTAACTGCACTGGAAGAGCATAGATGGAGACCTTCCTTCAGAACATGACAGCAGCTGTATGTTTCATTGTCATGGAAGAATCAGGGGAGGGGATGACTGCATTGAGAGTTACTACAGTTTTATAGAAGCCTGATGTCTCTGCTCAGGCATTCTGATTGTGAGATTTGAGAGTTGAGATGAGAGTAGGCATTCTGTTGTTGTGCACCAAAAATGCCACTGACAGCAAGACTTTGAAACTCTGGAGATTTCTGGGATAAAGTTTCCTAAGTACTCCTATGTCTTTATAGAAACAATCTCAACATGGGAGGAAGTTGTATTTGTGCAGTTGTAAAATGAGACACCATGAAGAATCTTCTTTTTCAGGGGGAAAACTGCACACAGATGTGGAAGTGGATTATACAGCTGAAATACTTCCTGTGACCTGTGGGGAGAAGATGGGCATGTTAATTAAGAGAAAATTGAAACGAGGTAAGTTTCAAGGTCTACTTTCACTTATAAGCCCTCCATGAAAGAATCACGAGAAGTAATGGAATCACCCATGTAAATTACCCATTGTTTAAGGAATTGGGGCCCCAATTTTTTCTTGAGAAGAGGTAGGGCTCTCTAAGATGATGTTTTTACACTTTAAGAAATGGTGCATATTAAGTGCTCACTTCCACATGGATGTATCCATGAGGATGCCCAAGGAACCAAAGAGAAGTGCAGAAACGTCAGTCTGTGGTGGAAAATATTGCATACTTTATTTTGAATCAGCCTCCACCTTCATATCCTATACCCCTTCTGGAAACCATCAACAAGACAGGGTGTTTGTTGTAGTGAGGAGTTCACAAAATTTAGAATCAGAAAACCTGAGTCCCAGCCTCAGCTCTACCAAGAGTGTCTTAGTAACGAATGGGACTTTTCTGAGCCTGAAACTTCTCATCTAATAAATGGATAATAAATAAAAACCTGCCCCCTGGTGTGACTTTGAGACAATGTACATAATGACTGTAAAATGTTTTGTGATTTGAACATTATAAAGCTTTCCAATAGTTGTCTATTATGATGAACCCCATATCAGATTAATCTTAATGTGGGTATGTGAAAAAATAATATGTTTGCATCAAAACTATTTTTAAACAGCTTTACTGAGATATAACTCACATATATACTAGTAATTCACCATTTTAAGTGTAGAATTCACTGTTGAGCTTTTTGTTTCTGTTTTGTTTATTCACAAGATTATAAAACCATCATTACAATCTAATTTTAGAACAGTTTTGTCCCCCACTAAAGGAAACACCATGTCTCTCAGTAGTCAATACCCACTGCCACCTCACCCCACCATCCAGCCCTAAGCAACCACTCATCTATTTTATGATCTGTATACTGGCCTATTCTAAATATTTCATATCAATTGACTCATATAACATGTGCCTTTCTGTGACTGGTTTTCACTCAGCATGATGTTTTCCAGGTTCATATGCATATATCATGCATTATACTTTATTCTTTCTTATTGTCAAACTAGAAGCCCGGTGCACAAATTGTGCACGAGTGGGGTCCCTTGCCCTACCCCACAATCAGGGCCAATCAGGGGCATGTCGCCCAGTCCCGATGGGGGCCTATGGGGGCTGGTGGGCTGGGGAGTGACCATGGGAAGTTGGCTGGCCGGCCAGGGAGGGACCACAGGAGGGCTCCAGGGAATGTCCAGCCCTCTCACCCAGTCCCAATCAGCCAGACCCCAGCAGCAAGCTAATCTATCGGTCGGAGTGTCTGCCCCCTGGTGGTCAGTGTGCATCATAGGGAGCAATCTGTCAGACACTTAGCGTATTATGCTTTTATTATGTAGGATAATATAATAGTCCATGGTGTGAAGACACAGTAACGCATTTATCTATCAGTTTGGGTTTTCTCACCCTTTCACTATTATGAATAATGCTGTTTTGAATAAAGATTTTGGTGAACCTGGTTTTTTAATTCTTTTCACTAAATACTCTGGAGTGGAATTGCAGGGTTATATGGCAATTCTATGTTGAACTTATTGAGAAAAATCAAAACTATTTTCCACAGTATGGCACCAGTTTATATTCCCACCAGTAAAATCTGAGTGCTCTCATTTCTCTGCATCCTCACCAACACTGCTTATTGTCTATCTTTTTCATTACAGCCATCCTAGAAGGTGTGATGTAGTATCTAAATGAGGTTTTTATTTCCTTTTCTCTAATGAATAATGTTATTAAGTATATGACTATCCTTTATCTATATATAAGTAAAATTTTCCACTGAATAATATTTCATAATTACTTTAAAGTCAGTTATCCATGATTTCACATAAGAAAAATATCAGCCCAATAATGCCATTGAACTGGAAGGAAATCATTGTAATACAGGGCACAGATGTTGCCTTAGTGTCATTGAGAGCAGCAGGGCAGGGCCTCCATTTCAGATTTCACTCCAAAGTAGAAAATCTCCTTACATGGTATTTACAGGATGGGTTTGGGGATTCTCAAGTATAAAAGGTGAGGCCACACTCTTCTGCTAGTGATCTTGTACCCAAATTGGATGCCTGTAGATCCAGTGTCTGAGCTCTGAGGACAAGGTGGTTTCAGGATCAACTTATCTCGGTCTTACAGGAGCCACGGTGAAGTGTATAAGGAGAGAGGATGGAAATTGGTGCACCCCCAGGGAATTTGAAGTTGAAGGAGGCTATGGAAAATCAAGTAACTGGAAGAACAGTGTGTACTGCGGTGGGACAGCCCTAAAAAACCTGAAAGAGGTATTCCAGTGAGTTTCCTTGTTGTATTAGAAGAAAAGGTCACTATTTGCTCACCAAATATATGTTGAGTCATGGCTAGAGCCCTGAGGTCCCCTAACATTATCCTTTCCTGGAGGGAGGCACCCCACACTCATAAGTCAGTACAAGACAGCACATTGATGTTGTCAAAGGGGCTCGGTTGGGGCAGGAGCCTGGAGGAAGAAAAGGTCATTCTGACTAAGGTGCTTGCAGACAACTTTTGCCACTGAAAGAAAGGAGACAGTTTATGCCAAACAAGTGGTCAGAAGGCACTCCAGAGAAAGAATGGTGTGAAAACGAGAACCACGACTAACATGGCTCCACAGGTTGAGGTAGATGGATTTTGTGTGATAAGGCATAATTCATCAATTGGGGGTCGGGGGGGGATTGGATGATTTAATGCCAGGCTAAGGATTTTAAACTCATAGCATAGACAATGCAGAACCAGGGAAGTCTCCTGAGGTGTGAAATGACATATTTGAAACAGTATCTCAGATAGCATGGGGCCTGGAAATGACTTCACTGTCTTTCAGCCCAAGACACCTATAGTGAACCCACAATGCTCAGCCCCAATGTCACCCCTCTCTGAATATTCCCTGACTGACCTGCCTTGTCATCCTTTCTCTGGCCTCTCTGACCACACTATTAAGGCCCTTCTCACAGTTTTATACTTATCCTTTCATGCAAACCCTTGCTCTCCTAGATCCCTCTAGGGTTTATACATCTTTGTGTGCCCAACATTGTGCAGAGTATCTGACACCCAATAGCTGTGGGACATGTGTGTGTAAGTTGAGCAGCCCTGGTGTGAGTGGCACTGGTGGGAATGGAAAGGAAGTGAAAGCTGTCAAAAAGATTGTCAAGCCCTAACCGGTTTGGCTCAGTGAATAGAGCGTTGGCCTGCAGACTCAAGGGTCCCAGGTTCGATTCTGGTCAAGGGCATGTACCTTGGTTGTGGGCACATCCCCAGTAGGGGGCGTGCAGGAGGCAGCTGATCAGTGTTTCTCTCTCATCAATGTTTCTAACTCTCTATCCCTCTCCCTTCCTCTCTGTAAAAAATCAATAAAATATATTT